GTTTTTAGAGTACCATTTTTTTTTGTTGTCATTGTTTTTTTTTTCTTTCTTTCTTTCTTTCCGTTCGGTTTCATTTCTTATTTTATTTCGTATTTCTTGCTTTTTTTTTCCTCTGGTCTTTCAGTTTCTAATCATCATCTTATTTTCGACTTCATTCTTTCATATTTGCCCGTTCTCACCCTCCCCGACTGTCAAAACTTTCTTCTGTCACACTCCAACAAAATCATATATGTTGACAAATACACTTGTCTGTTTAAACATTAAAAAAAAATAACTGTACAGTTTCATTTGAAAAATTTAAATGATATATCTTCGAATATCCACCCTGTTATATAACGCTCATTTGTCTGAGTTAAATTAAATCGAATGCGTTAATTTAAGATGAATTCATTTGAAGCCACATCAAATAATGTCGTCCGAGAGAGAAAAAAAAGTATAAAACCGACGCAATGCTGAATGTATTCAGAGGACTATTTAATGTCGAACACAGGACAGAAACGGTCAACATTTGAATATTCTGTCTAACACTCTTCAAATTGAATTATTTCCGCTAACGACAATAAACGTTATTTTAGAGACACTTGTGAGATTACAGCACTTATTTCGTTAACTTTCTCTTTGTCCTCCATTTTTGTTGCGGGATATATTTTATCGTTGTTACTTTTGTTCTCATTCTTTTTTCTCTTTTATTCAATTTTAATTCCTTCTTCTGTTCCATTTTCCATTTTCTTTTATTCGTCTTCATTTCTTGATTCTCTTGTAAGCGTCACACAGTTAAATGTTTACTTTGTCATACTCTAATTAAAAAAAAACAACAACAAAAAAAAAAACCCTCAGCAAATATGACAGACAAAAAATCCCGCATTCTAGAGATATAAGTAAAACTTTGCAGGGTTTTTGAAGAGTAAAAAAAAAAAAATAAAAAAAAAACAAACTTTTAGGCATATAAATACGTGGTATCATTATTCAAACAGTTTTCAGTAAGCTTACACGAGTTTCTGCTTTTGTGTATTCCAATATTAAAGAATGATTTCGATTTTAGTTTGATGAATGCTTAAAGAAAGTTTTCGAGAGTTTCATTTTGTCTGAATCACAGAAGAGTAAAGTTCCATAGAACGGAGCAACATTTTGGCAACTGATTTGGAAAATATATCAGAGGTGAAATTATTTTACGTCTCATATACTGTCCTATGGGTACATTCACTCAATAAACGTAAAAAAGGTGCACCTTTACTCCAGTAAGTAATTTTCTTTGCTAACTTTTACTCGACAAAAGCCTTGTAAACCACTCAAGGTAGAGGGTTATAATTGAAATGCTAATGACAGGTGAAGTATGTGAAATTAAAGGAAAATAATGTGATTATCAGGATAAGGAGGATAGATAATGATTGACCTTTGATTTGATGATGTCGTAACCTAGAAAGGGTTACTGAATGACAAATAACCAAAACAGAGGTTGGACATGAAATGATCATCTTTATAACATCAACTAAATACAATGCTTGCCAGCGACTTGAGGTAGATAAACCACTGCTAGTGGTGGACTACTTTAGACAGCATATTACTGTATTTACCTGGCTCCCCACGGGGTAGGATGTGGCACAAGGATAAATTTAATGTGGGGTCATTGGAGCCCGTGGGTTCGGTCAAAAATTGCCCGTACACCCCGCATAGGCGGGATTGGGTATCTGTCTACTTCCCCGGACGAAAGTCTGTCCTTCGGCATAGCCTCGTCCGGGTTCCTCTCTGCCCAAAGACAGAGAGTTCGACACGGCAAGAGCTTCCCACGCTGACAGCTCACGCTGCCATTTTAGACAACATATTAATCCTTACTTACAATAGTGTTCAACGTATTTATGACGATTGAGACATAGCCATTAGGGTTTATAAGTACGGTATATAACACTTTCTTTCTTTCTTTCTTTCTTTCTTTCTCTTGTAACCTAGAAAGTGTTACTGAATGAGGAATAACGAAAACAGAGTTTGGACAGGAAATAGTAATCTTTATAACATCAACAAAGTACAATACTCGCCAGCGTCGTGAAGTAGGTAAACCACTGCTAATGGCGGACTACTTAAACAGCATATTAACCCCACTGACAATAGTGTCCAACCTATTTACGAGGATTTGGACATACCCATTAGTGTTCATAGGTACGGTATATAACAGGAGAGTTCAAGATTAAAGTATTTGTGGGAGTCAGTTACACAAAGTGGCAGTTTTTGAGAAAAGTCAATCAGATTTGAACTCGCTTATTTTATTTCAAACACGGAGGATACTGTTTTTATCGTTCCCCCCTCCCCAAGCAAGGCGACTAAGCCACTAGAATGCTGACGGTTAGAGAGAGTGAAAGAGAATTAGAAGACTTAGAATGGGGGGGGGTTGAGGAAGGGTAAAAAAAGGAACAGACTTCAAGAAGACAGAAGATGGCGATCGACGTTGCATTAAAATTTTTGAAGATTGTAGTTATTATGCAAACATGAAATCGGAATGGATTTCCACAGTTGGGAAGTGCGAGAAAAAACTGATTGCTCTATTCATGGGCGGGAGTAGATGGAGAGGATCGTGACATGCGGTTGTGAAGTGTTTTCGCTTTTTTTTATTTGAAGGATGTGAATTCGAATGTGATTTCGGAGCCACATCTACGTGGAAACACTTTTAATACCATCTACGCGGAAACACCTTTAATACCACCTAAGTGAAAACACCTTTAATCGGAGATGTCTTGAGCAGACTGGCTTATTTTACCTGAATATATTTTAACTGGACCTACATGTCATGTTGTGTTCTGTTTTTATCAAAACCTGTCACAATTTCGCGCACATTTCGCTGTGATGTAGGTATCTCGTATACCCATATCAGACTGGGTACCATGATGTGAATACTGGTCTCCGTACATTTATACCCCAACGTCAATTTTTTGGCGTCCAGCTCACGCAAGAGCAAAAACATCAACAACAACAACAACAACAACAACAACAACAACAATAATAATAATAATAATAATAATAATAATGTGTTATTTGAATTTTGGACTTCTCCATACCCACTGATCACATTATTCAATATAACTAGACTAGACTTCAAAAAATTTAAATGCCATTTATCGTCCTGATGATGCCAAAAAAGTTGAGAACAAATTTAGAAGTATGTTGGATTTAAATTCAACCGTGATTCCAGTAGTTGAATGAGTCCTAGGAATGATTAAGAAAAATACTCATGAACACACGAAGAAGATCCCAAGGAAATGTGTTTTATCTGAAATACAAAAGATAGGGTTAATTAGTACGACTCATTCTTTGGAAGGACTGTTTCAAAAACCTTGTAAATAATAATTTACCTTAGATCTCAGGTGAAAATTTTGGTAAATAAGTAGCAAATAGTATAGAAATAATAATAATAATAATAATAATAATAATAATAATAAATCTCGAAAATATGGCATATGGGAACATCAATAATCCCTGTTGTAGTTGGAGCCCTAGGACTGGTTGGAAAAGATTGCAGTAGACTAATTGAAGGGATTCCTGGAAGTCCATGCCTCAAGGAGATACAAAAAATTGTTCTGCAAATACAGGCCCACACTTTACGAAGGGCTTTATCTATGTAATTTTTTTTTTTTTTGTCAGTGGAAAATGTCATGATGCCATTTCTAACGTTAGGTCCCTGGGCGGGACCCGGAAAGAAATGTGTAAACGTCAGAAATCAAAGAAAATAATAATAATAATAATAATAATAATAATAATAATAATAATAATAAAAAGACAAATGCAACCGACCAGATACAGAAGCGATGGCAAGATAAACTGCTTCATGGCCAATACTCTGCCCGTACCAAACAAGCTGACGTAGACAAACACCGTACCCATCAATGGCTACGTAGTGCAGGGTTAAAAGTTGAAACCAAAGGTTTTATTCTTGTTGCTCAGGACCAATTATTGCTAACTAGAAATTATCAAGCACACATACTAATATATTGTGTTAGCCCAAAATGCAGATTCTGTGATAAATATCCAGAAACAATTGATCATCTTGTATCAGGTTGCATGATGTTGGCACGCACTGAATATAAAACCCGGCATGACACATTGGTTCAATATCCACATTGGAAAATATATGAAACTTTTACGGAAAGGAAACTGAAAGGAATTGGTATGAACACCACCCAGACCCGGTAACGGAAATAGGAACTGTAACAATTTTATGGGACTACACAATACACACCGACAGAGCAATCAAAGCTAATCGCCCAGACAAAAGTGCCTCCTTATTGATATGGCAGTCCCTGCAGACTGCAATATATCTTTGAAGATCTTCAAAAAGCTATCAAAATACAAGGACCTTGAAATCGAAATCTCAAAAGTGACACAAGAGGACATAAGTAATTCCAGTTGAAAGCCCTTGGATTAGTTGGAAAAGATTCCAATAGACTCATTGAAGGGATTCCTGGAAGCCCATGCCTTAATGAAATACAAAAAAAAGTGTTCTCACGAGTACAGCCTGCATATTACGAAGGGCTTTATCTATGTAAAATATGTGTGATTTTTTTTTCAAATATGATCGGTGGAAAATGTCATGATACCATTTCTGACCTTTGGTCTCTGGTCGGGACCCGGAAAGAAATGAGTACACACCAGAAATCAAAAGAAAATAATAATAATAATAATAATAATAATAACCTTGAAATCGAAATCTCAAAAATGTGTCACATGAGGACATAAGTAATTCCAGTTGGAGCCCTTGGATTAGTTGGAAAAGATTCTAATAGACTCATTGAAGGGATTCCTGGTAGCCCATGCCTTAAAGAAATACAAAAAAAAATGTTCTCACGTGTACAAACCGCACATTACGAAGGGATTTATCTAGGTAAAATATGTTTTTTTGTAATTGCTCATTATGTTATTTCTGATGTTAGGTCTCTGGGCGAGACCCGGAAAGAAATGAGTACACACCAGAAATCAAAGGAAATAAAACAATAATAAGGAAGCCGATGCACAAA